CAGTGATGCTTCAGCAGTGGGCTTGCCTGTGCCATGACAGTGATGCTGCAGCAGTGGGCTAGCCTGTGCCATGACAGTGATGCTGCAGCAGTAGGCTTACATGAGTCTGGAGTAGTGATACCTTGCCTCAAAAAAAGAAAAGAAATTTAAAGAAAGTAAAACAAAAGATAAGTAACAACAAAAACTATAATTTCCATATTTGAAAGAAAGAGTAAAACTTGTGCATATTTATTGTATACGTGATATTTTAAGATACATATATACATTTCAGAATGAGCAAATAATGCTAATTAATGCACATTACTCTGCGTAGTCTTTTTTGTTGTCGTTGTTGAGAGTACTTAAAATCTATTCTCAAGGATGCAATATTATCAACTACAGTCATTATCAGCAACAGATCTCTGTATCTGAAAATTTGGTCCCTTTAATTAGCACTTCCCATACCGTCTCCAATCTCTGCCTTAGCCTTAGTAACCTGGATCCTGGTCAGCCATAAAAGAAAAAAAAAGTCTTGTCATTTATGACAACATGGATGAAAATGAAGAACATGGTGTAACTGAAATAAGCCAGGCAAAGAAAATTAAGTGCTACATGATCTCATTATTACTATGTGCAACCTCAAAAAAGGGGTCTCAGCTGGCTCTGGTGGCACAGTTACAATCCCAGAACTGGAAGTAAGAGACAGGAGGCTCTCAGGTTTGAGACCAGCAGGAGCTACATAATCTCACACACACACACACACACACACACACACACACAGAGAGAGAGAGAGACAGAGACAGAGACAGAGACAGATACACACACACTATAAGGTAGATAAATGGATGGCTGGCTGGATGGCTGGCTGGATGGCTGGCTGGCTGGCTGGATGGATGGATGGATGGATGGATGGATGGATGGATGGATGGATGGATGGCTGGATGGCTGGATGGATGGCTGGATGGATGGATGGATGGATGGATGGATGGATGGATGGCTGGATGGATGGATGGATGGATGGATGGATGGATGGATGGATGGCTGGATGGATGGATGGATGGATGGATGGATGGATGGATGGCTGGATGGCTGGATGGATGGATGGATGGCTGGATGGATGGATGGATGGATGGATGGATGGATGGATGGTTGGATGGATGGTTAGATGGATGGTTAGATGGATGGTTGGATGGATGGATGGTTGGATGGATGGATGGATGGATGGATGGATGGCTGGATGGATGGATGGATGGCTGGATGGATGGATGGATGGCTGGCTGGATGGCTGGATGGATGGATGGATGGATGGATGGATGGATGGCATCTATCCATTCATCTAGAGAGATGCCCCTTAGGACAATAAGTCCTGAGTGGCAGGATCAGTGGAGTCCATAACCTAGTATGGAATCTTTGAAAACTGAGAAAGGGAATGCATTTTTTCTAAGTTTTATAGCCATGAGCCAAGAAGATTCTTAGAGAGCCAGAAGAGCTTCATCATGAACCCAGCACAAATAAGAGACAGAGTTGCTGTTAGGCCTGCCCTCTGAGGGAGTGGACCCTGTGGAGAAGTAGCCTGGTAACTAGTCAAAGTGGAAGGCTTAGCAGCAGTGGCAACCTTCAGCCTAATTCAGCCTCACCTGGTATAATATGTAGGCTAACGAGAACCGGGAAGTTCTTTTGTGTGTGATCCATAGAAGTCCAGGCATTTCTTCCTGTAGTACTTCCTCATCCTGCTGCATCCATTCTCCAGCCCTTGAGATGCTTGCATGTGCCCTATGTGTTTGCATGTGCCGCTACCCTGTGTATTGTGTGTTTGTGGGAGTCTGAACATAGTTATCTGGCAACATGAAGGAGTGAAGAGGGCCTCCTGACGCCTGCCAGAATCTCACAATGCTTGTTGAGCCATGGAAGAGTTAAAAGACGACAGGAATGCTTCATTAGGGCATAGACTTCTCATGATTAGCTAGCAGTAGATATGTACTATATAATCTACTCTCCTATCAATGGGTTCCGAATCCACGAGTTCAACCATGATTGAGAATATCTGGGGAAAATGTATCTGTAATAAATAGTTACGGAATATTTCCTTGTCATGATTCACTAAACACTATAATTTAATGGTATATAAATAGCATTTAAATTCAGTTTAGTGAGCCGGGCAGTGGTGGCACACGCCTTTAATCCCAGCACTCGGGAGGCAGAGGCAGGTGGATTTCTGAGTTCGAGGCCAGCCTGGTCTACAGAGTGAGTTCCAGGACAGCCAGGGCTACACAGAGAAACCCTGTCTCAAAAAAACAAACAAAAAAAATTCAGTTTAGTGTTATGCTTAGATCAGAGATGATCTGAGATTTTAAGGAAGGTTACATAGATCACATGAAAGTACTACATTATGTTATGTAAGACTTCAATGAATTCAGTATCCATGGATACCCAAAACCTAACCCCACAGATAAATACAGAGAAGCAATTGTATATGTCTGCATTTTTTTCATGTTAACAGAATTACCATCTCTGGTTTTCATAGGATGATTTTTCCAGATGTTGTAGTTAGTAGACTCATTCTTACACAAAGTCCCAGCCCAGGACTTTTTTTTCCCTTTGGTAATGACTTTTTTTTTTTAACATCCCAATCGCTGTCCCACAGAATCCCTTCCCCCATATCACCCCCCCCTTCTCTTCTGAGAGGGTGCTCCCCTGGGTATCCTCCCACCCTGGTGCATGAAGTCTCTGCCAGGGTAGGCATATCCTCTCTCACTGAGGCCAGACAAGGAAGGGTTGTTGGGGAACAGGTTTCACAGATAGGCAACAGCTTTAGGGAGAGCCCCTGAGAGTGTTGTTGGGGAACACACTGAGGCTGAGCTGCATATCTGCTACATATGTGACAGGGTCCTTTTTCTAGCCTGTGTATGCTCTTTGCTTGGTGGCTCAGTCTCTGAGAGCTCCCAAGGGTTCAGGTTAGTTGACTCTGTTGGTCTTCCTGTGGAGTTCCTATCCCCTTCAGAGCCTTCAGTCCTTCCGCCAACTCTTCCATAAGAGTTCCCGACCTCCATCCTATGTTTGGCTGTGGGTATCTGCACCTGTTTCCATCAGCTATTGGGTCCTCTCAGAGGACAGTTACACTAGGCTCCTGTCTGCAAGCATAACAGATTATCATTAATAGTGTCAGGAATTGATGCTTGCCCAAGGAATTGGTCTCAAATTGGGTCGGTTATTGGTTGTCCATTCCCTCGGTCTCTGCTCCATCTTTGTCACCGCATTTCTTTTAGACAAGGCACATTTTGGTTCAAATGTTTTGTGCATGGGTTGGTATCCTTGTCCTTCCAATGGAGTTCCTGCCTGGCTACAGAAGGTGGTCTCTTCAGGTTCCATATCCCTACTGTTATCCATCTTGACTAAGGCCACCCACATTGACTCCTGGGAGCCTCCCCCATCCCACGTCTCTGGGACTCTTTTACTCAGTTTTCCCTGCTGCACACAGCTGGCATGTCTAGCTTCTGTGCCAGGGAAGCTCAGAAATATATTAATATAAGTTTACTGAACAATTGTGTTGGAGAGAACTTCTGTTTTTCTTCTCATAACACTGTCAACACAGAAGACTTCTGTGATGCTAAATGGTGTGGAGCTTTCTCTCTGAGTTAAGGAGGTCATCCCAGAGCAGCAGATACCAGTTCAGAGTTCACCAGTCCACTTAGTTCTTAGGCTACCTCCACCTAGACAGTGTGGGGCCCATAAACTGAAGGCTTGGCTCAACTCTCCCCACTTAAAGGAAATCGGAAGTCCAGCCCTCTGGAGCGTCTGATGATCTACAAGTTGGTTTTTTTGGTTTGTTTTGGGGTTTTGTTTGCTTGTTTGGTTTTGTTTGGTTTTTATGAGCAATCTCCAGCACATACACAGATTTGGTTACTTTGTTAGGACATCACAATCCACAGAAACATTATTCTTGTGTTTACTGTTTGATGTAAGTCCTTGTTCACCTCCCTTGAACGTTTGAACTGTCGTCTCCAGCCCCTCAGCATGTGCCACCATGCCCAGTGTTTTGTGATGCTAAGGAATGAACTCAGTGCCTCAAGCCAATCAACCAAGCAACATCTCGGCCCTTTCTTGTGGCAGGGGAGTGAGGGGGCACCTTGAGTCAGGGTCTCACTATATAGTTCAGGCTTGCCTCCAACCTAAAATCCTCCTGCCTCAGCCTTCCAAGTGCTAAGATTATAAGCATTCACAACTACCTTGCTACTCCCTAGCCAGGCATCCCATTTTTTTTATTTACTTTTTATTTATTTTGAAACAGGGTCCCATGTGTCCCAGGGTGGTTTTGAACTCAGTAGGTAGGTGAGCATGGCCTTGAACAGAGTTCTGATCCTTCTGCTACCATTTCTCAACTGCTGGGATTCACACTTACACCACAATACTGGTTGGTGCAGAAGTGGGCTCAAACGGAGCTTCTTCCCATAGGAAGCACTCTACTGATCGGGCAGCACTCCCAGACACCTCAGCAAGAAGGTGTGAGACACTGCCTTCATGAGCACACAACATCCGGCTAGCCTACGAGGATGTTCTCAACATATCTCTCCTTTTCTTTCAGAAGAAAGGATTTTGCAGGCCAACAATAGAAGGTTCAACTCTCTTTTTGACTATCCGGTACGTCTCCTGTCACTATTTCAGCAGTGGCTGATGTTCTCTACATTCTCCTTCTGAGGGATGAGAGGAACTCCTTGTTGATACAGAAACTACAGCATAAATTCCAGTTTAAGCTCCTCTATTGTAAATAGTGCGCTGAGAGATAGAGAGCTCAGAAGTCAAAGCCAACTCAGAGTCCTTCACTCCAGAAAACACATCTCTTCTAGGATTTTGTATTTATGTGTTATTCCTAGAAAAGAAACCTTATAGCTTCTCTCACAATCCCTCCCCAGTTTTCTGTTCACTTAGATGTCGGTGACAACACCAGCATGTTGGCTGCATTTACGCACAGCTGTGCTGGTTCCCATTCTATCGATGAGCGTTAACTTAGTTGGCCACCTCTGCTGCTGAACATTCACAATCTCTGCAGCATTTTTCTGTGACAGATGGTCCTGAATGAACTTCATTATGCATATCAGTTAACTAGGCCAAAAGGTAAACATATTTAAAGAAAAAACTGTGACACATTTTTGCAGATGACCTTCTGAAAATATTACATCCATCTGTATTTCTGTGTACCAGAAAAAACACTCACTGTACATTCCTGCCAAAGTAGTTTTGGTTTTGTATTTTTTCTGAGACAGGGTCTCCTTTTGTAGCCCACGCTGGCTTCAGATGGCTGCCGTCCACCACCCTCTCAATGTTAGCAGCTGGGGTTGCGGGCGTGTATTTCTGTGCTGGTTTAAACTCGTAATGATCGGTCCTTTCCATCCTTGCCAGCTCTTAGATGGAAATGGTGATTTGTTTTTCAGACCTTGAAACTTTTGAGTGAAATTAATAATCTCTTTCTTTGTGTTAGCCTTTCGTATTTAAAAAAAAAAAAACCTACCCAGTAATGATTTTGTCCAATTTTCTGTTTTTTTTCTTTACTACACTTACTCAATTATGAAGCCATTCATAACATAATGCATGTATTGTGAAGCCATGCGTCAGCAGATGTCTTTGCTCACATCTGCTCCTGTGTAGGAGCCACTGTGGAGAGCTTCTCACAGACTCACTGCTGCCTTCTGAGTAAAGGCATAAAGGAGATGCGACTAAAGCAGTCCTTTTTTTTCTCTATATTTTTACACTATTCAGGACCCTAATGGTTTTCAGGGTCCTAATTTCATAAGAGCAGTTATATAGGATTTCCTCCTCAGATTTAGCTTTAAATGATTCCTTATAAATGACCATCTTGGGGGGGGGGGGGGCCGAAAGGGCTCAGCAGTTAAGAGCACTGACTGCTTTTCCTGAGGTCCTGAGTTCAATTCTCAGCAACCATATGGTGGCTCATCTGTAATGGGATCTAGTGCCCTCTTCTAATGTGTCTGAAGACAGCTACAGTGTGCTCGTATAAATAAAATAAATAAATCTCTTTAAAAGGTGAGAAAAAATAACCATTTGGGTTATTTACGCCTTATTCACACACAATGGTTTTGTTTTCCTTGGATTGGCTTGGCTTTTGAAAGGTCTTGCCATGTAACCCAGGCTAGCCTTAAACTCAAAACCTCCTCCTTCAGACCCCTGAGTGCTGGAATTACAGGCATGCAATACCATATCCCACTTCAAATAGTGTTCTTGTATGTTATTTCTTATACACACCCACCCCCCCCACACACACACACATATCATGTGTACACGTCACTCTAAGTATATGAAAATATGTATGGCCATATATATTTGTGATTCTTGCGGGATATTAATCTATTTCTGAGCTATAGGTCCTGGGTAATAATGCTTACAGTATGGTAATAGGAGCAGGCTCAGT